AGCACTGTTTACAATAGCCAAGGCATGGAAGCAACCTAAATGTCCATTGACAGATGACTGGATAAAGAAGCTATGGTGTGTGTGTGTGTGTGTGTGTGTGTGTGTGTGTGTGTGTGTGTGTGTGTGTAATGGAATACTACTAAGTCATGAAAAATAATAAAATAATGCCATTTGCAGCAACATGGATGGACCTAGAGATTAACATGTTAAGTGAAGTAAGTCAGACAAAGACAAATATCTTTTCTTTTTTTTTGGTGGGAGGAGGTAATTAGGTTTGTTTTTAAGTGGCAGAACTGGGGATTGAACCCAGGACCTTGTGCATGCTAAGCATGTACTCTACCATTGAGCTATATCCTCTCCCCAACAAATATCTTATTATATCACTTATTTACAAACCAGAAGTAGATTCACAGACATAGAAAACAAACTTCCAAAGGGGAAAGGAAGGGAAGGATAAATTAGGAATTTGGGATTAACATATACTCACTACTATAAGTAGATAAACAACAAAACCTACTGTATAGCACAGGGAACTATATTCAATATCTGTAATAACCTATAATGGAAAAAAATCTGAAAAATAATAGATACACATATGTATGTATAACTAAATCACTTTGTTTTACACTTAAAACTGACACAACATTGTAAATCAATTATACTTTAATTTAAAATTTTAAAAAAATTATTTAACAACTATTTGTTGAATGAAACATTTTCCCCTAGTGCTTTGGAATTTCAGCTTTTTCAATATAGTAAATTATTATTTATACTGTTGGTAGAAATAAAAACACACAATGTGAGAGCTGTGAGTTTCAGTTTTACTTGAGAACTTACTGAGAACTATAGCCTGGAGACAGCCTCTCAGATAGCTCTGAGGCACTGCTCTGAAGAGATAGTGGGGGAGGTCAACATATGATTTTGGAGAAGGGGTAGGTGCAATCAAGCACACATCTCAGTAGAAGGTTGCTGCTAATCATAGGAATAGATATCTCAGTAATTTTAGTGCTTACCTAAATATGAGAGGATGCAAGTAATTGGGTTCTTAAAATTTTTTCCTGAAAATATCCATCTGAAGGTCTGTTCTGCCAGTTTTCCCAGTGCCTCATTCCTGATCTCTGCCCTGAACAATTTTCAGAGTGTGTTGAAGGTCAGTGACTGAGGTGACTAATGACTCAATTCTTGTAGAACTGGGTGGTGAGGGGCTGTCTTTAGTTGGCAATGCTTCGGTTGATTGCTGAATTCTCATTCATCTGACTATTATTATACCTGACTGTTGTTATAATCTGCTGTTTCAATTATTAAACTTCGATCATTGATTTTTGTTACCTAGTAGTTTAAGTACTGTCTCAATATTCTTATTTGTCAATTTTATCTTGGCTGTTCATGTCAGGATTTCTTTGCCTACAGTGTCAGAAGTCATTATGATCTGGATTAAAGCAGTAATGATGGAGATACAGAGCAAGAACAGAGTGAATGATATTGAGTATTGCCATCCATAGTGCTTGAGGGATTTGAAGGCTAGAGATGGCATCCCCTATCATACAGCCTTCTGGCTTGAGAAACAGAGAATGGTGTTGTCATTGACTAAGATCGGGAATATAAAAGAAGCTGAATGTAGCAGAAAGGATTATTTGTTGAAAGAACAGAAGTAGGAGTAGCAAAAATAATTGTAGGAGATTGGTAATATTTTGACATGGCTTCTTTGGCTAGTAGGATAGAAAGTCGACTTGAGAAAATTTTTTAAAAATCAAGTCCAGTTTGTATTAGGTACCAAATGAAATTTGATGTGGCACCAATTCTAGCAGATGTATGATTTTTAAGAAGCAGCCCACAGCAGCCCTTTTCATATATTCAACTATGTGAGATACACTGTTAGGCTGTAAACAATGTTTGCGGTCATTTGAGGGGCCTAAGCTTGGGGGAAAGGATGCAGAAATCACACTGTTCAGTTTGGGAGATTTTTGAGCAAAGAAGTTGCAAGTAGGGAAGTAGAAACTATTGGTGAGAAAACTATTGATGTGACCTTACAATTTTAGTTTTGTAAAGAAAGAAATGAAGCTAAGCAGTTTACTGTATCAAATATGATAGTAAGAGACAAAAGAATTTTGTAAACTATATCAAAATAAGGCAATGTTTTTATTCCTAGGTCGTTTACATGAAGGATATGGTGGAGCTGGAGGCACCCTGACCCTCCCTATCTGGCTATGCTCTCTGCAGACTAAGGCTTAAACAGTTTCTAGACAGGGAGCCTGGAGTCCAATTTATAAGGAGAACATGCAGCTTCTTATCATCTTTCACCTGTATTTATACCAACTGGTCTTCTTTTAGTCACCCTTAAACAGACTTAGAAAATACCCCCTTGAATTGTGTACTCTAGCTGTAAAACATGGTCTCATCTAAATACAAAGAATAGAGAGGGTGAGGATTTTTAAGAGGTTTATTTTTATGAGGCTTCTCTTGTTTTCTTTGACTTCAGCATCCCCAAACTGCCACCCAACAAATTTGGACCTCGTGATGAGAATTGTAGAATTTTGGCCTTGGAAGAAATTGTACAATTTATTTGACTCTAACTTTTTCTCCATTAAATAAATGAAACAAATGAGGGACAGAGAAGATAAGGCCGATGTCACTTTTAAGTCAAAAGCAGAGCTAAACCCAGGACATTCAGGTTTTCTAACAGCAGACTTACATACTTTCACTATAATGCAGTGATTAGAAAATTCATATTAATTTACTGGATTTGTTTACTCTATCACTTTGCATATTGCACCTCTCCCCCACCCTCTTTTAAGATTCAGCAAAATTTTTAATGTGGAAGAATAAAAAGTGGTTTCGATCTGATCCTCTCCCAAGTATCAGATTTCTCAAAACAGCTGACACAAAGCACTTTTGTAACTAAATTTAATATAAAAGCACTAAGAGTATGCAAATAAGGCACAAAGCCAAACTTCAGAAATAAACTAAAGAGATAAAGAATTAAAATGGTGCCCTTTTTAAGATTAGACTTTAGTCCTATATTCCTGTTCTTTTGCAGTTGACAAACCACAAGCACTCTGACCTCAGAGCCTAGCCCCTGCTGTTGAGGCACACCTGGATGAGCAACAGACAGAGTGAGCTACTTGTCAGTTGTCATTTTTTTTGGCAATGTCTGTTCAGACATGCTTACCCCACCCCCATCCTGTCCTACTTCAGTGTTAGAAGGAAATGAAGCCACAATGAGAACTAAAAGGAGCTGTAACACCTTTCGTCCCCTGCCTCCTCCCTCCCTCTCACTGCCCTCCGCACATAGAGCCACTCCACCCTAGTTGGGCTCCAGTGTGACATCCCTGCCTGCCTGAGAAAGGAATGATGAGCTGGGACTGCAGTTGCAGAGTGACACCCAGAAGCTAAAAGCTTCTGTAAGTACCAGATCTGCACAAGACCCAAGCCAAAGCAATGGCATTGTCACTGGAAGAATTTGTCCATTCCCTTGACCTCAGGACCCTCCCCAGAGTCCTAGAAATCCAGTCAGGAATCTATTTTGAAGGTAAGCACCTTTCTATCTCTTGGCTGACTAGGAAGTGTTCAAAGAGTATCTAGTCTTGGGAATTTTAGGGGAAATTTTTAATAGAGAATATACGAATTCTGTTGAAGGAAAGGTGGTCATCTGAGAAGGTAATTAACTGAAGAATGGTTGAGACCCAATAGTGCTGGAGAAGGGAGAAACAAGATAGGACTCTGGGATGGATAGGGACAAGGAACTGAGTGAACTTTCTTGAGGTTTTTTTAGGCCTTCAGATAGCTCAACATGAATGGTGAATAAGTTTGCCTTTTATTTGAAACTGATTGTAATCTAAGAGTGAAAAGTTAAGTTATCCATATTTATGTTTCTAGAATATAAAACTATAGTTTTTTTTTAAAAAAGCATCTATTAAAAGCACAGTGTTTAGAAAGCAAAATTCACCAAACTCTTAACCACTTTTAAATATTGCTTATATCAATGCTTCTCTCACTCCTTCTACGGTGACTTAAGTTCTGATTTCTTAAATGATGGCATTCTTATTTGAAGGTATAGAAATTAATGTTTACTAATCACAAGATACTTTTTAAAGAATCTATGTTGAAAAGTCAGAGCTCAACTAAGATTATTGAATAAATTAGTGTACTTTGATGTAACTTACTATGTTAATTCAGTAAAAGAGCATTAAGACCTATAACATATACCCTGGAATCTTTAAGCAGTGGTTTGAATACATACAAGGCAGTGTTATTTTCTAGGCAACTATAAAGTTTTGGTTCCAAGAGTAGTAGAATTGAGGCAGTAACAGAATTAGATCCAGACACACTACTAGGCAAATAAAGAACTGTTAGTAGGCAAATCTTTCCCTTTTACAGATGAAAGAATCTTTTAGATACATTATTCTATGAAATAAAATAAAGATGGACAAATGTCAGATCCAGTTCACACACACACACGTGCGCGCATACACACACACACACAAACACACAAACACACACGCACACTCTTCCATCAATGAATTGGTGCAGGCAGTCATCAGCTAACTATAGATAGTTTTATTTAATTCATTTTTAAATTGATTATTTTGAATCAGACCATATTTTTCCATATATACAATATTTTGAAATGTATCTTTGTTCCTAAGCCAGCCCCAAGTCATTTTTTTTGTCTCTTGTTTTGTACTTTTGAGGTTTTGCATAAGAAAGTTCTTCTTCATGTTCAGATTACAAAGATGTTTTCTTATGTTACTTTATATCAACTTTACAGTTTCACATCTCACACTTAATTTTTAAACTGTGCCATGAACTGCAAAGGGATCTAATTTTAGTTTTTTCCATATAATAACCTTGATTTCCCAGCACCATTTACTGAGCTAGCAACACAGTTGAGAAATTTGCATTATTTTTGAACCTATGGCTCTGGAATAACCGTTAATCTATAGTTCATACATAAACCAATCCCTTGTTATTACTCCTTTCTTCTCTAAGTTGCTGTAGCTATTCATAGACCTTTCAAAAATGTTTTTAAAGAAATCTGTTGATTACTTTAAAATCCAACTGAAATTTGTATTGGATTATATTGATTTTATAGATTAATTTGGGAAGAATTGACATTCTTACATTAAGTCTTATAAGAATGTTGTATGTCTCTCTATGTGTTCAGACTATCTTCATCCTTTAGTACTTTAGTACTATATTATACTTCAATTAAGAGAAAAGGGCATATACCTTGATGAACTTTCACAAAGTAAGCACATTCATGTAACCACAGTCCTGGTCAAGAAGTAGAAAATTACAAATATTCTGTAAGTCCCATTTGATGCCCTTTCTCTATCATTATTCACCATATTCCCCATAGGTAACCATTATCATGACTTTTGTTCATTTATGAGCTTCATATTAATGGAAAATTATAATATGAATCCTTTTTGGTCAGCATATATTTTCAACATTGTCTTTGTAAAATTAATCCACACTTTTCTATATAGTTTATTTTCAAAAGTACAATATTGCACTAGATGACTGTATCACAATATATATATCCATTCTACTGCTATTGGGCATTTGGATTATTTCCAGTTTGGAGATGTTAATAGTAACATAGCCATGAACATTCTTGTACATATGTGTTCATGTGTATTTGCATTCAGTTGGGTATATAAGTAAGTGGAATTGCCAGGTCATATGGTATGCATATATTCAGCCTTGATAGGTAAGGAAAAACAAGCTTCCTAAGTAGTTATACCAATTTCCATTCCCACCAGCAGTATATGAGAGTTCCAATTAATCCATATTCTTGGCAACATTATCAGTCTTTTTTTAAATTGAGATATAATTGGGATTTAATTGAGATACAACGTTGTATTCGTTTTAGGTGTGTAAGATAATGATTCAATATTTGTATATATAGCAAAATAATTGCCATAGTAAGTCTAGTTAGCATGTGTTACCACACATAATTACAATTTTTTCTTGTGATGGGGATTTTTAAGATTTACTTTCTGAGCAACTTTCAAATATACAATTCTGTATTATTAACTATAGTCACTGTGCTATACATTACATTCCTCAGAGTTATTCATCTTATTACTGAAAATTTATCTGTTGACTTCTTTCATCCATCTTACCCCTGCTTCCCTACTTCTTACAATCATCAATTTCTTCTCTGATCTATGAGTTCCTTTTTTTTTTTTAAGATTCCACATAAAAGTGAGATCATATGGTATTTGTCTTTCTCTATCCGACTTATTTCAGTTAGCATAATGCCTTTAGGGTCTACGTATTTTGTTGCAAATGGCAAGACTTTCTTTCTTTGGGGAGCGGGTGGTGCTGAATAATATTCCCTTGTGTGTATATATACTGTGTTTCTTTATCCATTCACTCATCAATGGACACTTAGGTTGTTTCCATGTCTTGGCTATTGTAAATAATACTACAATAAATAAGGAACATGGAGATGCATATATCTGATAAGTGTATAGAAGTATAGTAGTGGCTCATGGTTTTAGTTTCCATCTCTCTGGTCTCTAATGAGATTGAACTTTTTCATATGTTTATTGGCCTTTTAGAGATGCTATTTTATGAAGAGATTATTCTTTTTTGTATTTTTTGTTGAAGTATAGTCAGTTTACAATGTTGTATCAGTTTCTGGTGTTCAGCACAGTGCTTCAATCATATATGAGCATACATATATTCATTTCATATTCTTTTTTATCATAAGTTTCTAGAAGATATTGAATATAGTTCCCTGTGCTATACAGTATAAACTTATTTATCTACTTTATATATATTAGTATCTGCAAATCTCGAACTCCCAATTTATCCCTTCCCACTCCCTTACCCCTCTGGTAACCATAAATTTGTTTTCTATGTCTGTGAGTCTGTTTCTCTTTGTAAAGAAGTTCATTTGTCTTATTCTTTTTTTTAGATTCCGCATTTGTGATATCATATGGTATTTTTCTTTCTCTTTCTGGCTTACTTCACTTAGAATGACGATCTCCAGGTCTATCCATGTTGCTGCAAATGGAATTATTTTATTATTTTTAATGGCTGAGTAGTTTTCCATTTTATAAATATACCACAGCTGCTTTATCCAGTTTATTCTTTTTTAAAAAATTTTTTTATTGGTTTATAATCATTTTACGATGTTGTGTCAAATTCCAGTGTAGAGCACAATTTTTCAGTTATACATGAACATGTGTATATTCATTGTCACATTTTTTTCTCTGTGAGCTACCATAAGATCTTGTATATATTTCCCTGTGCTATACCGTATAATCTTGTTTATCTATTCTACAATTTTGAAATCCCAGTCTATCTCTTCTCACCCCCTGCCCCCTTGGCAACCACAAGTTTATATTCTATGTCTGTGAGTCTATTTCTGTTTTGTATTTATGCTTTGTTTGTTTGTTTTTTTTCACATATGAGCAATCTCATATGGTATTTTTCTTTCTCTTTCTGGCTTACTTCACTTAGAATGACATTCTTCAGGAGCATCCATGTTGCTACAAATGGTGTTATGTTGTCGGTTTTTATGGCTGAGTAGTACTCCATTGTATAAATATACCACATCTTCTTTATCCAGTCGTCTGTTGATGGACATTTAGGCTGTTCTCATGTCTTGGCTATTGTAAGTAATGCTGCTATGAATATTGGGGTGCAGGTGTCATCCTGAAGTAGGGTTCCTT